TTTTATATATTTAATAATTATAATTAAATATTTTAATGTTAAAATATTTTTATTTTTTTATTTTTCTTTGTAAATAGACCTTCCGCGTCGTACATGGATAGAACACCATGGATACGTTTTTTAATAGGTTATGTATATATGATTAATGTTTTAATGACCTTGATACAAGTAGACTTAAGTTTTTTAAATGAAATAAGATATAATGATTAATTAATTAATTAATTAATAAGATTTAAAAATCATTCACTCATTATAAGTTACCTTTTTATAAAACTCAAAAAACACCTATCATATAAAATTTAAAAGACTTAAATTATTAATAAATAGATATTTATTCATCATATAACTTTTAAAATTTTAATTAATAATTAATAAAATTTATCATACAATATCTACAATATTTTTAAATAATAAATAATCAAATATCAAAATATCATTCAACTATAATTACAATACATTATAATACAATATAATTATAATTACAACCACAATTATAATTACAATGCCTCACACTAATTTAAACAAATTAAACGAGGATTGTTGTTAGTTGCTCCACACGACAAGTGCATCCGCCATTTTTTAGCAAACCGGAGAACCGATAGACTGGTTAAGATTGAAGTTGATGGGGGAAGAATGGTTATGGATTTGGTTTAGAAGATGCAAGCAATCTGCTCCTTTGAAGATGGTTTGTACTCAGATTGAATGACCCATCTGGATCCAACCTAACCACCCACTCACGTGTAAAAAATTTATTTTAGTCCTTATGTTTTGCTTTTATCCTTTTTATCCTTAATTATTTCATATTATTTTAATGATTTTCTAATATTTTTATTATTGAAGATTACATTTGGTGACAATGAGAAAGGCTAGAGAATTAGATCTAATATAAGATATATAAATAAAGTAAAAATTAATTGAATAAAAATTATTTATTCTCATCTTTTTATAAAGTGTTTTTATATTTCTTTTTTCTTTATTCATAATATATATTCTTCCACTTAACGTATCTTAATTTTTATCTTTCAATTGATAGTATTTATACTAAATTATTAACTATTATTAATTTATCATTAAAAATTAATAAATATTACTCATAAAATATTTTTTATTTTTAAAATTGACATACAAAATAATTATTTTTTAATTAAAATTTCATTCTGCTCCTACAAATATTTTCTTGCTCAGCCACTGGATTGGTTGACAAAAAGTCAAAAGATTCCACCCAAAAAAAATTGTTTCTTTCCTGGCACGCGCATTGGTAATATGTAAAATAGTATAACGGTGTCGTGTTCAGGACTATTAAAAGAGACAGAGGAGCCTCCTTTAATGGGCCCAATTTGTTGCGGATTGTATGATACTTTTCCTTTTCTTTTCTTTTCTTTTATAGTATAAAGAGATAAAATAATCGTACCTGAGCTTCACACCCCAATGACTCAACGATCATAAAATCGATTTATAAAGTGTGTTTTAATATAAGGACTGAGGTTCGATCCCTCTCGCCTCTAAAATTGTAACTTTGTTCTAAAAAAAAAAAACTAGAAGAGGTAGAATAAAATAATCATTTCTTCTTTCTCTGCCCTTAAAATTATTTTCTCGCCACTGGGTTAGTTGACGAAAAGTCAAAAGATTCCACCCAAAAATTGCTTTCCCGGCACGCGCATTGGTAATATGTAAAGTAAAATAAAGCGGTAGACTAATCATTTCTTCTACTTTTATCTCTTTTTTTTCCCCTTTATTTTTTTTAGAAATTTAAGTATGAATGGTAATTTTGTAAATTACTTAGAGTTAGAGGGTATTTTGGTTGATTAAAATTATGATCTTTTAATAATTTTATGAAAATTTATAAGATTTTTTATCTGCAAGTGGTAAACGCCACTAAGGATGAAACATATAAAAATTGATGAAGTTAAATTAATAATTGAAACTTTAAATGTATAAGATTATAATATTTAAATTCTTAAATTAAATTAAAAATTTTAAACAGTTAATGATTTGAGTAATTGACTTAAATTTTTAGATGACATTATGATAATTAAAATTTAAAATATATGATACCTTAATAAGTTGGTATTTTTTATTTGAATTTAAAAATTATTTGCTTTAATTTAACTTCAAATTTTGTAAGATTTTGACAATCTTTTAAATTATAAAAATTAAATATATAAAATTATAGATAAACTTAATTTTAAAAATGAAACATGTATGTTAAAAATTAACCATTATAAGGAATTTTTTTTTTTAAAAAAAAGAGATAGATGGAGTGAATTTAAGTGATTATAAATGTTAAAAACTTACTTTCATATTTATCAACAAAAATAATCAATATTTATTTTGTATAAAATATAAAAATATTTAATAAAAATAAATAAAATTTTATGTACATTATTATAATATAAAATATAATATTTTACATATTTCTTCTTTCATAAAATTGATACATTGCGAAACACTTTGTGCAGTGGGGTTGGAGATGCTAATTATTTTGTTGTAGATGGTGGGCACCAGCCATAAGGATGCAAATGTCGAGCAATTTACGAAAGGTAGTAGGTGCAAATCAGCCCCTCTACTAAAAGTTGTGGCATGTCAGACTAGAAGATATGTATTTTTTAAAATGGAGAAACTAAAAGAGATGAATAAAATGCACTAGCGTTTTCAATTCAGTAATGTTAGGTTACAGTGTATTTTTTTAATTTCAGAGTAATGGTTTAAATTTGATTTTTTGTAAATTTATTTAAAAAAAATAGATGAATAAAATAATTTAAAGATTAAATGATTTGAAAATAAAAGTTTAGAGGCAAAAAAGACAGCAAAGGGACCAGAAAAAAAAAAAGAGTAAGTTAAATGTTAATTTTATCGCTCAACTTTAGTGTTTTATACCGGTTTTATTTTTATTTTTATTTTTTTACATTTTTATGCAATTTTTTAACCTCTTGACTTTGAAAAATTTTTTCCTTCCTTTCTGTCAGTTAAGTATAACATGGCCATTAAATCCGTCCAGGCATTTTTTTTTTTTTGATGACATGATAATAACACCTCATACAATCAATTTTACGTGGACCAAAAAAAGCCAAGTCAGATTCCCAAACCATCTTCATCTTCATCTTCTTCTTCTTCCCGCGATCCTTTTCTGTTCCTCCATTCATGTTCGTTAACTCCATCGTTCAGCTCTTCCTCCCCTTCCATCTTTTTTCTTCGGCACTATCTTCCTCCATTCTCCTTCGACATCTCTTTCTTTTTCCCTCCCTCCATTCCCTTTTCCCACTTCCTTTCCTCATTCTTCCCAAATCTAGGTTTGTACAAACCCAGATTTATGGGTTTTGAAACCCAGATTTCAAAGAAAACCTAAAACAAAAGACTCCTCTATCATCTTCTCCATCCTCACTTCAGTTCAAAGAAAAAAAAAAAATCAAAGTTCAAATAAATAATCCAATCTCCTCCTCATCATCATTCCTTCAAAAGTTTCAAACGTACAATTTCATAAGCATATTTCAACTAATTTAAGCATATTTCAATCATAAAACCCAAAGATAACAAAAAAAAAAAAAGAAAAAAAGAAGAAGAGGAAACCCAGAAATTTGGGTTTGAAAACTAAAAATCTAGAATCTGTGAAACCCAGAAATATGGGTTCCATCGAACCCAGAAAGGATTCGATAGGATCTTAGAAATCTGGGTTCCACGGAACCAAGATGCTGGGGTTTAACGAAACGTAGAATATGGGATCCGTGAAACCCAGATTTCTGATATTTGAATTTAGGTTCTTGTTTCCTAAGAAGCTACTTTTAAACTCTAAGATTACTAAGGATAATAATAACATGCTACAAAGTAGAAAGAGTATCACTACTAACATTTTGAACAACAGCACCGAAGTCTATTCTATATTTCCAGTTTCACTTTTTGGGGCAAAAAGATTATCAAGAATCCCACCCTTGACCATGTTGTTGACAGCCAACAAGTACCAGCTTGAGCCTAATTAGCTTCATCTCTGTACCGCCTCCTCCTCTACAATATTTGGGATGAACAAGTGATTCTAGCCCCGCAACACAGGGTATTAGTGATTTCATTGGGCAACTTGATTTAAAACCAATTACATTTGCTCTAAATGAAGGTTGAACACTAAAGAGCAATTTCTAATATGAAGGTTTTTCTATTGGAATTTTAACCATTTAGAGCTTTTAGCAGAATAAAATGTAGGTCAGACAGATACGAACATTGTCAATTATCCTCTACATCTTTTCTCTTTACATGAATGGAAAGAAACTATATATTTTATTATTTTAATAAGTATATCTTATTTCAAATCTAAAAATTGAGGAAAAAATCAACGATTTGTATAATTTAATAATAATTTTTTTTTAATAAAATAAAATATTTTAAATTTGAATTGTGTAACATTAAGTAGGGTGGATTATAGGATTGGAGAAGTTTATCTAACATTATGCAACTCAAGATCGAAAAACAAAAAAAAAAATTTAGGGGTAAAAAAACGTCAAGCATACCAGTTTGTGTAGCTAAGCTACACAGGTTTCTAATTGGTTATAAAAGATCTAAATCTCAGTTCTTTGTAGCTAGATTAACCTTAGGAGCTTGGAGAAAATTTATAAAAATTGAAAAAGAAAATGCTGCCTAAAATATATGACAAACATATCAAAGAAAATGCAACTCATATAAACAACTAACAATAATACACTTGCAATCGTAAGTTGTATAACAATTACCGTGGATTTGAAATAGAAATACACAATATATCTGACTTATGTCAGAAGTAAAAACCTCTTAAAGCATAGCCCAGATCATGGTTCTATTTTCCACACCAGGAGGTCCTTCAAATATATAAGGACCATATACTCCCTCTTTCATAACTCAATATTACAAATTGAATAGTCTATATAAACATTTAGATTCCAATTAATAAGTTTGAATTGAATTCTTTAGAGAGAAA